ACTTGTATGAAAAATAACCTGGATTCATATGAAAAACACATATAAATGTTGATCTGCAACACGACTAGCAGAGTGGATATTTTCATTTCATAAAATGAAGCCTTAGATATATTTGGCTTCAAGGCAGTGTGGAAAAAGCATTTTATCCAACCTCTGAGGGGAAAAAAAACCCATAAAAATCAATCAGATCTCATACCTGATTTTTTAATGAGGTTGCAATCAGAAAATGTGTGAGTACAAACTCAGAGCAGGAAAGCAAACAAACTGGTGAACAATTCATACACACAACCCAAACAGCACATAAAATTTCACTGACTCCAGTACAGCACTCAGGACGTACCCACTTATAACCAAGGATCTTTTAATAATTGAAATAAACCCATGCAGATAGGACATCAAAGTCAGAGGTGAATGGATCTATCTGTTTATAAAGAAATGCTTCGATTTGTAGCTAAGTGGCAAAAGTATGTCAGTCCATTGCAAAAAAAAAGGAGGCCGGGTTGTTCCGGACAAGGAGAGAGAGCCCCTGGCAACAGAAAGTCAAATTACACTTCAAAACCACCAAAACAAAACCGGGCGCCTTTCTGAGGGTGGTTCAAACAAACAGGGCTCTTCTAAGTAGGAAATGAAGAGCTTTTATCACTGCTGTGATCAAGTGTGTGTCAGTGCTTAGTGATTTCACTGGCTCATGGCCACGGGCAGTGACACAGCTGCTGCTGCCCCAGGTCAGTGGCCTCCAGTTCAGAAGAAGCCCAGCAAGGTTATTTGTTTAAACCCTCCATCCTGAATGAGATACCAGCCCTCTACACCCAGAAAATTCCCTCTGGTACCCTCCCTCTCATCAGGGATGAGATTCCCATATATTCCTACAGGAATATATTCAATATTCCTATGTGGAGTGTATACTCATTAAGAAAACTGCCAGAGCACAAACCTGTCATTTAAGAGAATTACTTGGTAAGACTAAACTTAGTTCAAAATCTGTTTTTATTTTCAGTGCTGAGCTGTTGCTTTATTATTTAGCTGAACATTCCAAAGTCAGAATTCACATTTGCTCATTTTAACATTGCTCACCCCTCTTTTCCACAGAGGTTTCTGTTCCCTCTACTTTAACCTTACAGCATTTTGTACCGCTTTCAACATTTTGGACTACCTGAGATTACTGCAATCAGATGCATCACAAAATAATGATGACAGAGAATACATGGTCTCTGAAAATTCTTCAGGTATTGAAGCAAAGCAAAACCACCCTCTTTTTAAACTAGGAAATCACTGCAGTCTTATTATAACAACACCTGTACTGATTTTCTAAGATGATAGATACCTTATTGAGACAAAAGTTAATTTTTCTTTCTGGTCTGCCAGATAAATGAAATGTGTTGGGGGATGTGTGTGCTGGTGTTTGGGTTTTTTGTTGTTTGTTTTTTTTAATAACATTATTTATTCAATACTGAGGTAGAAAGGCACCACTTAACTCATGCTACTGATTTTCTTCAGAGCAACTTCTGTTTTGTATTCTGTTTAACTGAAAAACTTTTACAGAGACCATTTATTCCATGCAGACATTGGCTCTACCAGCTGCATTTTTTTTGTTTCACAAGAGAAGAAAGCTGAATGCTCTGACTTGCACAGAACATACCCAGCATAAAGTCTCCTCCCAATTAAGTTAAAATCATCCAAGAGCACTTACCTACAGTTGCTAACAGGCATTTAGCACTGCTGTCATAAAATATACACCCAATTACACTATTTCAACAACCTTTCCATGGTGAAGATGATGTGCAAAAACCCTCCTGGAAAGGATTCCTGCTGCTGTGGCTGCCAAGCTCCAGCCCTTCTGAAAACAAGAATGGCAGGACAAACCTACTCAAACTCTGTAATTTTAGCATCATTTTCTTATGCTATCCCCTACAAGGTTCAGAATGATCTTCCACACATCTGACCAGCTCCTTAATATTCCCACAAAGGAGCAAGGGTGTTTTATTCCCCTGTAACATCCCAGTGAAAACTCCTGCTTTTTCATGTAACTGCTCACTCAGCCCAGAGGAGGGAGAGCCAACCTGACCCCCACCCACTTTTCTGTGGGTTTCCCTGCGTGTTTGATCACAGGTGGGACAGAAAGACTTGGAATGCTTCCCTACAAGGGCACAACATGGACAGCAGTTCCTACACAGATGCCTGACAAAATTTTGTAGTAAGTATTAAACATTAGTTGCTACATCTCTGCAGAGATTTCCATCGGCAGTAAAGATTTTTTCTATCAAAAAAGGCACAGAGTGACAGCAAAGGTACTTAAGTTGGAGCACATTTCCATATTGCTGAGGTCAGCATCATATTTTATCTGTAAAGCCTGTATTTTAAAATCAGTTGTGCTCTCAATATGGCAGCAAACCTGCCCCTTATGTTCTAACAACCTCCCAGTTCCCTCCTCCACCTTCCCCTAAGCTCCCTAGAAACCTACTCATTAACAGCACCTAATAACAGCACATCTCCCCCATATAAACAGTATTTTCAGGTTTTTAATATAAGTGGAACAGCTCCAAGAAATCACCCACTGTCTTAGGATGGTGGTGCAAATATTAGCCCTGCTTCTAATTGCTGTCACCTCCTCACTTGGCTCGGAGGTGCCCCTGATTACAGCAGTGACACCATCCAACCCTTGTCCCAAAAAACACAGTCCTCTCCTTCCCAGGCCTCCTTCAGCCCCCAGAAAAGGCTTTGGGAAGTAAAGTAACATCAGAGCTGAAGAAACTGTGATTCTGACAGTATCTGCAACCTCAGCATTATTCAAAATTAAAGAGTCCTCCAGAGGTGGTCATTTTGGATGTGCCATTTGGAGGGATTGCTCACCCCCTCACTGTCCCCAGCAGTGGCCATGGTTATAAAAGCAAGAGCAACTTGAGGTGAAGTCACATCCAAGACTACCCATTTAAGCAAACATCATGTTTTTGAATCCCAGGCCTTACTCCTTTTATCACCCATAACTTTATTTACACCAATAACTCTGGCCAGAAACTCAATGCCAAGACCATGGATTCAGGTCTGTCCAGAGCTGTTCTCCCACTGAGCCAGCTCAGCACTACAGCAGCTTTTGGAATTCTGATTTCTGTCTTATCCACCCTAATTATTTGAGCCTGTGCAACAGATTTTAAATAGGAGTATATTAATCACATCAATATTCTACAGAAGCTACCACATAACCCAGATGTTCCTCCCAGAGTAACACAGGAATACTTTCTCTATTGTGATATACCTGTTATACATCCTGAGAAAATGTTACCTTTCAACGTGGTGCAAAACCAGCAGGGAAACAGCGACAGGAAGAGGCTCATGGAACATGATTTTGCTCCCTTTATCTTGGTGGACAATGTTATGGTGAGTGGCACAGCCAGGCTGTCAGCAGATGTGCTCAAAAGGCCTCTGCAGCAATTTCTTCCATTTCTCCCTAATTTCTCACAGGGGCCACACTTCCCTCAAACTGAATTATGGACTGGCTGCTGCTTGATGTGCACACTGGGCTGGAGGCTCTTTCTCTAGGCCTGCTCAGCTCAGGAACTACTGAGCCCTCTCAAACAGCCAACTGATACTTGGGGCTCTCGTGTCACATTAAAGGATTACACTAGTGCAGCCTTTAGTAAAAAATGTGCACAAAACAGAGTTCTTAAGGCAACAGAATACACATCTAACTTTGAACTCCTAGGAGAACACCCTAACAGTATTTTGGTATCTAAACATTCCCATCAAAAATGTTTTTGCATGTCAAAATGTCGACAGTGCTGGAGAAAAACTAATAACATTTGTTGACATTCTCAACATAGTTTCATATTTTATCTCATAACAACAGCAAAAAATCCATCAGAAATGCTTGGTTAAATATGTCCTTGCTACAGTAGCTGTTAGATAAACACACTGGAAAAGGTTTTTATATTGAATTTTGCTGTTTGAAAAAGGGCTGACTTCTGTCATTCACACAATTTGGAACATCTGTGAGCCTGTTGCTGCTACTTCATAAAGGAGGGAACGATATTTGGTCAAGCACAGCTCTGCAAATCAGCTCCTAGCCTTCATATTTTAGAGAATTATCAACAAAACCAGATTTAGTCATTGTATTACCACAACAGCAGTACATACCAATGCTAAAACAATGTATAAAACTGTGGTCTCTCTAAAAAGAGTGGAGTCTGACTTGATTGGGAACAAGATTTGATGCAGTCCTGACAGCATTCAGCCAAGTAGCGTAGCAGTATTTCCAAACCTGTCTTTAGCCAAGCAGAAAAAAATCAGGAGTACAACAGCTCCTGTATTTGTGTTTCATTCTCCCAGAATCTTGTGCTAGGATTTTAAATTTGCCAGCACTTAATAACAAAAGAAATATAAATTTGGACGCAGGGAAAATGGACTCCAAGGTCAGATTCTCTTAGGATGACCACACAGGATTGATTCTTATAAAAAATCAGTATCCAAGTATCTTCAAGGTAAGTACTTAGGATTGAACTAGTGAATTAGTCACCCTGAACCTTTCAAAGTTCTGATTTTACTATTTGTTGTGTAAGACAGATGACTTGAATTTTTACAGTATGTAGTTCAGATTGTAGGAGGCATTTAAATAGAGGTGATTGACAATAGTGAAATATATTCAAACCAGAACATTTTGGTTCACTTAGAACCACTAAAATGGTATAATTTTTGACACATAACAGATTTTTTCAGGGTCATTTGCTCACAGAAAGTGATCATGGAGAAAAACTCCTTAATTTACACTCCAACCATACTCCCACTTGTGAGAATTGTGGTTGGAAGAGGGAAAGCCACGCAGGCCAATGACAACCATAATTACATGAACAGTATCCAAGAGCCAATATCTGACATAACTTTCAAGTTTTTAAGTAAAAACTAATAACTAAAAGCTAAATAAAATATGGAACACAAAAGCCGTAAGATAAAATAGCTACACTCCTACAAACACTCTCCCAGCTTTGATAAAAATCAGAGGTACAATGAACCTTTACAGCATAATTATTTAATGTAGTTTCTTGGGGAGTCCAAGAGGTAAATCACTCAGATATGTATCTGTATTTCAAGGAAAAAAGTCAGACCTTATCAAAGTATATTATAGTCTTGATTTCAATGACAGAGCACAATTTCATTTAGTGATGTAAAATGTTTCTGTATTATAGAAATCTTATTCCTGCTCCGAACTGAACACCATCACATATCCTGAAAAGAAACAAATAATAAACAGTGTAAGTGATATACAAGGGATTGATGAAATTAAAATCCATTCTCCCTATCCCCAAATTCCCACGGTTTTCCATCTTTGGAAGAGTTTTAATCCAAATGTTACCCAACAAAGGGCTTTTGCTTTGTCAATCTGTCATTCATACAGAGTGTTTACATTTGCAAAATAAAGCCCCTGATTTTCAAATTGCTATTATTCATTCACATTGCACATGAATCATAAGTGGAAACATAACCCAACTCCTGTATGAAATACAGAATATCTCACACAATATTCACAGGCAAGAAAGAACAGGCCCCCTGAAGCTTTTTACTGCATACTATAATATTTGCTTGGTTTGGGATAATTGGTTGCTAACAAATTAATTTGTTGTTCCTTTATCTATACCTAAACTTGTTTCCACTTTTCAAACAAAGACATTAAACTGGGTATTTATCCAATCATTTCGTTCTGTAAGGCTTTAGAAAACCCCATTAGGTGTTGGAGTGATCATTTGCCCTAAAGAAATAAAGCCTGCTGCACAGCTATTCATACATTTCAACAGCTGATCTCAAGTTTAATGAACTCTGAAACTTGAGAAACAAAGCCTTAAACCAAGATGTGCTGTGGAACCAACATGAGCACAGTGGGCTGAAAGAGCAGTAGCGAGTGCTCAAAAATCTCTTTTAGGCAAAACTAAAAGGCACCAATTCTCTCTGATAAATCAGATAGAAGTGCAGTAAAAAAAACCTCAGTTGCTACTAAAGAATTTGGGGTAACAAACCAACCTGTCCCCAGCCTGTACTCCCATGGGGAAGCAGTAGTTAAGTTCTAGCCTTGCAATGTTTCCCAGTCGGAGCACAATTCCGGCACCGTAAGACCAGCGGATACACTCTGCCAGCTTCTTCAGGTGAGCTCTGGGACCATCACCTGCAACCAAAAGAGCAGGAGAACTAGGAACAAACACTGTCAAGGTGATCCCAGGCTAACTGGATTTTCAGAGCTAGAAGACAGACTGCTTAGGGGCAGCTCCTGCAGAATCAACACTTATTCACTGCCCACAACTCTCATAAATGCCAAGAACCTTGGACTCAAACTACTGGGATTTTAGTTGGATTGCTGCTGATTTTCATTTCCCACTACGGGGGACCTACTAGCAAGAACCTTAAATGTCTTTAGTACTCCCTTAGAGTACCTAAAGGGTATTAAAAGAGAGTTGGAGAGACTATTTACAAGATCATGTAGTGACAAGGGGGAATGGCTTCGCACTGACAGAGAGGAGGTTTAAATTGGATATTAGGAAGAAATTCTTCCCTGTGAGGGTGAGGAGGCCCTGCCACAGGTTGCCCAGAGAAGCTGTGGCTGCCCCATCCCTGGAAGTGTTCCAGGTCAGGTTGGATGGGGCTCTGAGAAAGCTGGGATAGTGGAAGGTGTCCCTGCCCATGGCAGAACGAGATGAGCTTTAAGGTCCCTTCTAACCCAAACCATTCTGTGATTCTATTCTCTAATTAGTGTGTCTCTATTATTTTAAAGTGATTAATCTGCCTTTTAATTGTGCATTAAGTGTCTCCCTCCCATGGGGATGCTGCCTTTCTTACATTAAGTCAGGCAGACATCAAATCTCACTATATCCTAAAACTGACTGAAATTATATTGCAAAGCCATACTCCAAATCACTGAAATATGTTTTGAAAAATGTTGGGGATGGGAGGGAAAAGAAATCCCACCAGCCACCACACCCTCATGCCACCACTTTTTATTTAGTTCATCCCGGTAAACATTAGAATCATCTCCCTTCAGAATGGTGTAAGATAGGAAGTGTTAATTACCACACTGGCCTGCAAACATCACCAATTCACAGCTACTACTCTTACCACCCTGGGTCTCTTTCCTACAAGTTGTGCTGGAATTTATGTGGAGAGCTCAATAAATTACTGGCAACCTGTCAAATATGTAAGTTAAAAGCAGCAGGTTTTTGACAGGCACCAAAACACATGCAGTAAACAAGCTGTTTCTGAGTAAACAGACACAGAGCAGCTCTCCTTTTTGCTTTTATACATGGGGAAGAAGGTTTTTTTTTATTCTACTGATCTTACCATAGTTAAGATTGCAGAGGTTCCCAGCATTAAGGAAAAAATGTGTCCGGAAAAGATCTCCAAACCCTCCACGGCCTGGCCGGAAAGGGAGAGGGGTGTAGAGGTGCACACCCCCAGCCCAGTAGGCTTCTCCTCCCAGGTAATCACCTGTTTGGGCAAAATGTTGGAATAAAAGCTTTTACTGTGGAATATATTAAAAGAACCAGTTGTTAAAGGTACAAGAAAACATGAGTTGTTTTACACTGCATTTCTACCCTTTGCTTCTCTCTTTCTCCAACCTCAACACCATGAAGTAAAAAAATCAGCACTTACACAATCCAAGGGAAGTGCTTTTTTCTTCATTCCCTCATCCTACTCTTGGGTCATCAGAACTATCCCCTGAACACCTGTGCAATACTTGTCTTAGTTTTAAAAATGGGAAATTGGCACAATTAAAGAATTAGCTTTAAACTATAGTGAATGCTGAATCCACTGATAACAGAGGAACGAATAGAACTGAGGAAACTCCTAGCTCTCAAAACACCTCTGTGGAGCACATCACCTTTCCTTTAAGCTACCTGAGCATATGCTCAGGAATCAAACAGAGTATCAAACAAGAGATTTAATGTGACTGTTGCTCTAACCATGTTTTGGGAACTTTTTCAGCTTGAAGTTTGTTACTAATTAAAGTGACACGCTGGGAGTATGAAAGTCTGAACACACACCTGGTTTACAACAGATCAAAGCCATAACTACTCCCAAAGTACAGAATGAGTGCAATTATTTTCAGGCCACACAAAGCTTGAGGACAGAATGTGACACACAAATATTTGCAGTACTGCCAGAGGAGTGGGATTTAACGGTTCCAGACCTTCACTCTGGGGTCCAATGCTGTACATGCTGAATCCACGCACACTTGTTGGTCCTCCGAGGTAAAACCTAGGGAACGCAGCCAAATGAAATGCAATGCTTGGCTTGAAAAGCAACTTTGTAACAGGTTTAGTAAAACTGTCTACAAGGCGAACAGTTACAATAGAGCTTTGTGTTTGAAAACACAGGTACCTGTGCCCGCTACAAACTTCTGCAGATGGTAAATACCATTTTGCAACCTTAAATATTGGCAGGCAGAGCTACCATACAGCAAATTATAAATCTGCACTACCCCCATATGAAAATGGCTGGAGTACCAACATGCAATTAAAGCTACCGAGAGACACTTTATTCTTCTCAGAACCAGAGCTACTACTGCTTCTCTCTTCTAGGGTTTTCTGTACACATTACCTGTGTTGACTGGAAAAAAACCAAACCCCAAACACTTAACAAACTTGCCTGTCAGCAATACTGGATGGTTTGTCTCCAATAGGTACCAACATTCCGCCCCAGAGTGATGCTGAAAAGACCTTTGGAGAGGAAAAGAAGTTGTTTGTGAACACATAATACTTAATTTCCCTAAGACAGTTAAGATTTCGTTGCTCAGTAGCAGCCAGAGCTCCCATGAGCTGATCAAGGTGTGTGTGCATGGATATCACACCATCAGTGTGGGATGTGTGGTGGGATTTTCAGGAAACTCTGGGTGGCTGCTGCCCTCTTTCTTTCATGCAGTGCTGTGCCTTGAAAAAGTCAACACAGCACATCTGAACCAAGTGCCACTTCCACAACATCTTAAGGGAACTCTCAATCTCATCCAGCTCCTCTTTTCTCAGGAATTTTCTTGAAATAAGACAACACTGCTGACATATATTACTCCTGGCACTTTGAAACCCAAAGTCCAGCAAATAACTGCCAAAAATACAATTTTTTGGCAATTATTACCTGTCTGTATATTGTACAGTTATTTACCTGTCTGTAAATCAGCCTTACAATTAAATGAAACCACCCTCTACAACTCACTATATTGACATTACTGTTTATCTATAGTAAGTAATTCTTCATACCCAAATCACTATAACAAACATATTTAATAATTTCTTCCTGCCTGTGTACCAGGTAGAGGTACTACTGCCAGACAGTGAGATCTATTGTTAATACTTTTGGGATGCAAATTATTGTAACCTCTGATTTTTAAATCTTCATAATAAGTTGCTGTTCAATTCTCCACTCAGCTATGAGAGGAACTTACTACAAAATTTTCATATGAAAAACAACTTCTTTCTAAATACAGACAGAAATATTCCTAGGATATGTTGAAATTGTTATTTCAATAAGCAGAAAAAAACCTATTTCCACCTAACACTAGGTCTATGTTGTTAAAGCTGCCTGAAACTTAGGATCTCTATGTTCTCGTAGGAAGCTGAAGTTCATGAAACATTCTTTCCCAATATTTTACATAGAGGAAATAATTACATGCTAGGATACCAAAATTAGTAGTTATACATCCATAATTTCAATGACAGAAAAAAACCCAAGATTAGTCAGAATATTCATAAACAGGTGAAAGAAAGTTTCAGAACTTTGAAGTTTTTCAAAAGCTCTCAAAGTTTTTGAAAAATCACAAAGAACAGACATGACCAACATTATTTCTGGAAGGAATAGTGTTCACATGGTTAATTGTCAAGTTGTTCTTTCCAGAATGCCAGAATTTCTCAACTGACTGTGCTAGACAGGAATATAAGATTAAAAATAAAGAGTAGTTCACTTTCCAAAGAAACAAACCAAGATACCTGCACCATCCATCTTTCATGATCTTCTTACTAATCCATGGTGAAAAATCATCATAAGACACAGGTTCAATAATGTCAGATAAACTTCAGATCAAGTGCTATTAAATACAAAAATATTTTAAGAAATATTTTTTAAAAATTACCGAGTCCCAGAAAAGTTGCCTATTCAACTGAAACTCAAAATCCTCTTTTAGAAAGTTCACATCTCCACCTGTGTAACCAGCCAGCTCCTGCAAAGACAGAAGTTTATGAAAGTTGTAACAGATATTACATGTTTCTTCCCTTAAAAGCATATCTACATGTGGCACTTCTAGCTCCAATGGCATTTCAGAACAATCTGCTTCTAAAGCATTACCAAAATCATTGCTTCTGAAGCATTAACCCAGCTTTTAGAAAAGTTCTGAATGTAACCAGAGTGAAAACCATTTTCTCTGCCAAAATGATACATGTGTATGCCTGGGGAGTTATTTTTACTCAGTCTTTCACTTCAGATTCTCAGACTTACAAATTCTGTAACAACAGAGCCACAGTCTTACATGACAGAGTTAGAAAAGAAGGACTAATTAATAACTACTAGAAGTGCAGAGTAAATACTGTCAGGAATAGTGTCTCTCAGCTAATAAGCAATTGAATGCTGATGGAGAGGGGCATGGAGAGGCTGTGCTGTTTGACTAATGAATTAAAATATAAATACAAATGAAAATTTGCCCCCACAGAAGAGCTGCCTGATTTTAAAAGGCTCTGTAAACAGAAAAAGTAAATACTGGTCCTCACTGTCTCCTAGTCAACTTAAGATGAATTTCTAACTTTAGGCATTTTTAACATGAACATCAATTAGATAAATTAAGACTTCCTCAAGCCCACAGATAAGAAACCCAATAATAGCATAAGTGGTTTAATACTACCTGATTGATTTTCAGCAAAGCACCTCGTTTTGGCAAGATTGAGGAGTTCCTGGAATCAATTACCATGGCATGCTGAAAAGAATATAAAACTTGGATTTAGGTTCTCATTATCTGTTGAATAGCTCAGAGTGACACTATTATTTTCCTTCAAAAATTGTGCAAACAGTGGAAGACAGCTAAGGCTACTGTAGCTTCGTGGATTTGGGAAAGATAAACCTTAGTTTTGAATTTAGAGGCCACATGAAACACATACATTTTTTATCTTATTTTCTATTTTTTGCCCATGGTACACACGAGAAATAGAGCAGCAGCAATGCCCCAGTTTAAACCATCAATTTTGTGACAGTAATCTGCAAATAGTTTGTCCCTGTAATTTGTGAAAGATAACAAGTGACCAAAAACTGCTAGAGGAATGTTTAGAAAAGGCATGGCAAGTGCAGGATGAGGAAATTTACTGCTACAAAACAAGGCAATTCTGCAAAACCAGGTGGCAGGTGAGACCAAACGCAGCAAAAGATGTTTGAGGTAAAGCAACACCACCCCCACTAGGACAGAAAGGTCATTCCTAAGTGTGAGATGACACAAAATAATGTGTTCAAAACAATGATCATGGGAAAGCCTTACAGAGAGAGAGGATTTAAGAGAGTGTCCACTTTCTTCTCGAACAGAAAAGGACGCTGTTCTAGCAAGGCAGCCAAGCTCCCTCCACACACCCTCCCACTTCACGGTGTGATTGGTCTTCCAGACTGGAAACTACAAAAAAGGAATTGGGTAAGACATGAAAAAACTGTTACAAAATTAAAACAAACAGTTTTTAATACTATGGCTTTCTTTCCAAACTCCTTGAATCAGAGAGAAACCCTTTTTTGTTTCAGAGTAGTGCTAACTCTGCTCCAGCCCAGAGAGTTTCTCCACTTTTTTCCATCATCCCAAACAAGAAATATCTTGCATTGGGCTGATACAGGAAGGTAGGCAAGCAGCTACCTCTCTGAAATGATAATTTGAAACATAAAGAATTTGGAGAAAAACACATTGGCATTTTTATACGGCCAAAATAAGACTGGATTCTAACAAGAAGACTGAAGTGCATGACCTCTGTCATCTCCAAACTGCTGACCTCTGTCAAATAATGAGATGTCAGCCCTGTGCACAAGTGATTCAAGCATAAAAAAGTAAACCAAGCATTTGCAAAAGCCAGCTCTGTGACCCAAACTGAGTGTCGATGAAGTGTGTGTTCCACAAGTTCTTGTGCTCCACTTACATTACATTCTGTTGATATTCCTCTATCTGTTTCACGGAGAGAGCTCCAAGGGAACTGTCCAGTCACCTTATACACATTAACTGTAAAACTGAAACACAACATTACTGGCAGGTTTTAAAAGGAAATTATGTTAGTAGGTGGAATTTTGAATAATCACAAAAACTTAAGAAACCAGCTCTGCTCCATCATTAATAGACCCCTCCCCCCTACCCCAGGAAAGGAATAAATGTAATTATTACTCAATGAAAGATCTTATTAATTGCTTTATATTCATTCAGTTAAAAAAAGATGTACTCAAAAATGCATCCCCTACTTTCTTTCAAAGTTTCCAGGCCGGGGTTTGAAGAAGGACAGGCCATATGAAGTTTCCTTTGTCCCATAGGAGAACTGGAAGGTTACTTTTTCTGCACGCCCAAGGAGATTTGGGAACTTGAGCCCAAGGACCTACAGAAAAGAAAAAAACAAACAAACAAAAAAATCCCATATCATAACATTTCATATTGTTTGCTGTCTTGCATCCTAATCACATGCTGAAGACAAGCCTATCTACCAAGAGAATAAGAAATGAAGACATTAAAAGTACTAGTAAGCAACTGTGGTTTTCTTTTAAGTTGGATTTCTCTTTGCACTGGCAGCAAAAGCAGGAAAATAATTGTCATGTAACATTATCACAACCAAAGCCAATGGAAAATTATCACTCCAGAGTCACTTCCCTGTATTTTTGTTTTAAGTAACAAGGTCCTTTTGCAACCAGTCCTGATGGCAGTACAACACCTTTACAGTTCTCCAGAAACTACTGAAACACTTTTGCCTGTTCTGGCACAAATTCCTTGCATCCTTTCCGCAGCAAGGATGGAGCAGGTTTTCTCCAAGCAGGACTGTACTATTGTTGTGTCTTCTATTGTAAAAGAATGTTAAAAAGCTCCCAAATCCTGACTGCTTTTGCCTAGCAGCTATTGGAAGGAAATCAGTCACCTGAACTTTGTAAAGATGGCTACTAGGCAGTTATTCATCTAACCAGAAAGGGCTTTTACTATGAAATATAATCCAGGCTTCAGATGAATTTAAGAGATCAGAATAAATGTCAAATCTATTCAACTCTTAAGGAAACATAATATGTTGCCAATACAAGTCATGCTTTTTTAGAGCATTCACAAGTTTTCCTTCTCTGTAACAAATTAAAATCTGAAAGAAGAGGAGGCTGAGTCCAAAAAGGGAAACCAAAGCAGCTTTCAGTGAGTTTTCAGCAGCACAGGAACCAACAAGGATCCCCTGCTGCTTTCCTTCAGGCCACGACACCCTGGACAGGGCTTTTGGCAGTGGAGCTGCATAAGCAGCTCTCAACTCACCCAGTTCCTGCTCCCCTTGCACATGCACAGCACCATCCCCTGAGTCATGCAGGATCTTACCCAGGTTAAAAATACCCCTAAGAAGAAAAGGATGAGTCCCTTGATCTGGCTTATCTCCCAGCCCCAGGCACAGCTGCCCTGTGCACGTGAGGAGGCAGGAAGGGTGCAGGATGGGCACCTGGAAGCACCATGTGCCCACACCAGCTGGGACTTTTTGTGTCAATTGGTAAATATTTTTCACACAGGATTTTAATCTGATGCATCTTTAATTAAATTATATGAAAACAAGCCCCACAGTTCATATGATCCGTGAAAACTTTGTGTTCTGCAGCCCACAATAATTGTTACTGGGCTAAAATAGTGCAAAACAAGAACAATTTCTAAGTCAAATATAAAGCATTTTGACTGAGAAGAAAAATACTTCAAATATATCTCATAGAAAGGAAATTCCAGATTCTCTACTTATCCCTCCAGTAGATAAAACATCTTAACCATTATCAAGAAATAATACAAGTAGTTTCAAGAATTAAAAAATTAACATGCTGAGCTGGAAGCCAGAGGATTCTCCCTTAGCTCAAATAGGCTTTTGCTGAATGAAAGCCTGACTAATACAAAGACTCTTTAGACACAAAGGTCTGGCAAAGCCTTAGTAAAGCTGGATCAAGAAAATAATTTGGTTTGGATCACCAAAATCCTTGCTAGGTCTGAAACTAAGAGGAAGACCAAAAGGCATAATTTGAAATAATCCATACCATACTGCCTTCATTGTTGCCAACCATGGTGTTATAGCTTCCAGTTAACCTTCTCAATTCTGTCACCTCAAAGGTCACATCTAAACCATTTGGAAGGGCATCATCTCCTACATAAACAAACAAACAAGTGTATGTTATCTCTATAGTTGTTTAAAAAATGCAGACAGAAGATTACCTGAACTATTTGAAAACTGGTTGAGTTAAAGGACAATAAAAGCCCACATTACAAAGAAAAAGATGCCATTTGGATATGAGTGCAGAATTTGGGATGAATGGTTTTGATCAATTAATGCCAGTTATGTGATGTGTGATACATAGAAATACAGGGCACATCTTCAAGCTTTCCCTCACATGTCCCTTGAAACTGTGGATTAAGGGATGTTTACTGTAATTATTTAAGTGCTGGAAATTCACTCATTTTTGCATGTATACAATACTTAAATACATATATTTAATAATAATAATAATAATAATAATAATAATAATAATATATTTACAGACCCATGAAAATACATCTTCTTCCTAAGGATAATGGATGTGGACACATATTTGTATATATAGCACACCCATGTGTTCATTTAAAATATATAAAGGTACAGAAGAGAGCAAGTTATACACTAAAGAGTGTATGTATGAGGAAAAAGGTGAGGATTAATGAGGGGATACCCACCTTGACAGGTGTCAATCAGAACATCCACCTGCCTGAAGATTCCTAAACGAAGCAGCTTTTCACGAGCTTCATGTGATTTTCTCATGACCTACAGTATGAGAAAAGCAGCTCAGCCACAGAGTCACAGAATAGTTTGGGTGGGAAGGGACCTTCAAGATGATCCAGTCCATTTGAGTCTTTCAGATTACCAAAAAAAATTAGTTAAAATGCAGCTAAAGTTGTAAAAATATTCACAGATTTTGTATACAAGGGCGCATACATGCAACTTCAAAAACAACATTCACAATATGAATGTTAATTCATCTGTTAAGATGTTTTAAGACTTGCATCTGTAAAGAAATAAACCAACCCCAAGCATATGGCTCAATTCCTACCTTTTGTTAGTTTGCTTCTTAATTGTTGTAATACTTGAACCTGTTATTCAAATATTCAAAGAATATTCAACTTATACACCTGTAAACAGTTACACTTATACAGGGGGCCACTGTTTTTGGCAAAAACCAAACACTCTAATCTGTTTAAATTTAGACCAATTTACAGGTCTAATCGCCAGCCATGCTCCAGAAGGGATCACCACCTAAAAGTGCAGGGAGATCCAGCCCAACTCACACTTTGCTCCACTGTGCTGAGTCCCAATAATTTATCTTCAGCAAATTAACTGGAAGTGTCACCTACACAGTTAGAAATTCTCAAATGGGAAGAATGAAGCTGAAAAAAAATCTGTTTGCCACCTCACAACACCTCTGAGCTGAACACATCAGAAAATACAGCATCTGCCAGTATTTCATATTAAGGTTTGGCTTCTGTATCACAAGATCAGAATCATCACAAAACATGACAAAGTTGCCCCATGCGATAAGGGAGTAGCACAAAGCAGGAAAGAGAAAAATTTTAATTAATTAACCTGAAATTTCCAAGCAGCAGGTCTGATATTCACCCCAGTACTTACATCAATGAGATTTTTAGCCTTGAAAACATCAGCTATTTCATACATGATAATGTCATCTTTGGTCCTGCCAAGTCCATCGAAGTGCACATGCTGAACCACCACCTGAACAGAACAGAGGTTTACACACAAATACTGAATTGGCATCTAATAATGAGCCTCAAAATCACCAGTGCACAAAAATTACTGCTGTCCACGTGAAAAACTAATTACTGCTAACCTACACTATCAGAAATCAGTGCTGTCCATGAATCTGGGAAACTGTTCCCTTAACGCAAAAATTAAAGAAAAGACAACTCTAATACAAAAGTTATACGAGTTGTAGCAAAAGAAACACTGATAGACTGCAGCTGCTGGGATTTTAGTTGTGTTGTATGGACAAATATATAACTGCAGAAACCACACAAGGCAGCACAGGTAGTTGTTTGCTACTTCTTGTATCGGCTACACATAAGCAAAGAGTTAAAAGAATACAAACAAACTTACAAGTCACAAATATTTAAACTCTATTAATATTATCACTACCACCAGAGTAGTGCAGTTTAAAATGCAAGGGAAGATCACTCACATTATGAGGTTTTCTATTTTCTTAAAAACTTTCCTCTTGATATATAATCATCTGAGACAATTTTATTGCAAAAATCACAACACACTCCAGGGCCAGCTGGTACAAATGGACTACAGGGATTGCATTTCCCTCATTTTTCCAACCTTTTCAGGAAATTTTAGGGGTAAATGTCAAAAAAAAATATATATAAACCTGCAAATGCTTCACAGGGTTGTCAAGGATTGGAGTCACCAGCCCAGGAAGGATTTTAAAGACATGTAAATGTGGCACTTGGGGACATGGTTTTGCGGTGGCCTTGGCGGTGCTGGGTTAACAGTTGGACTCAATAATCCTAGTGGTTTTTTGCAATCTAAACAATTCCATGACTCTGTACTAGAGTTCATAAAAGAGACTATTCAGATTATACCACCTGTATCATATATATCTGTATGACTCTAAGGATTACCTCTAATAAACAGCAGAATAAAAGAACAGGAACCAAATAACATCAAACTCACAGCACTAAATGTAATTCTTTCACATTTCAATCCATAGCTTAGGAAGTTGCCTTAGGAAAAACAAGGAAGAAAGGGTGCCAAAGCATTTCTCTCTACAAAAAAAAAAATAATAATAATAAATCAGGATGTTGTTCAGCCACTCACATCTTTGTTTTCCAGAATTTCCTGCTTGGTCTCAGGTTCAACTTCAACCAGTTCAGCCTCCTCTCCCAAGGCACCAAAGTCTGGCCCAGCCATGGGAAGAGGCTCCAAACTCTGAAAGCATAAAAAGAAAACTGCCTTTAATAGGGTACACTGATTAATGATTTATGTCTTTTGCAAAGGAAAAAACCCATGGCTTTTGGCAGTGTAATCATCAAATCCCAAGGGAAAAGAGCAAAGAGAAGAACTAAAATGAGGGGAATTACCAGCACAGTAAACACTTACCTGTTTGCTGAAATTCTTCATGAAAGCTAAATAGCTTCCATTTTGAATGATTTCTCAAAAATACTCTGCACTCTTCCAAAAAATAGCCTTAATTTTAAAGGCATGATAAAAGAAGAATTCTACCCTCTTAAAAGAATATCTAAAAAAATCAGGCTGTCACTTCTCCAGTTCGGGTTTTTGGGAGGCAGAGGAGTATGAATGTCGAACAATAAAATAAGAAAGGTGTTCTCAGCACGTTACTTTGCTTTTCATGTATTTATATGCTCTCATATGTCAACATTTCTTTTAGAAGTAACCTTTCAAATAAGGTTCGAGAACCTCAGAGGGGAACATTTTAATCAAAATGTTTTCCAGCAGGGCATGACTTTACTTACCATAACTAAGAGAGTTAAAATAAGACTTAGCAGGAGATAACAGAGTCAAGCATGAATGAATAAAGGGGTTTCCCTGAGAAAAGCAGAGGTCAGGATTGGATAACTCAGTAAGCCTACTTTTAATCTTAAGTCACTAACAGCCATTTGGCTGGAACAGTAAATTGCTGTTACATATCAAAATCAAGTTAAAATGAAGATGGAAGCTTCTCTCACTGCCAAAAATTTTCAGGCAAGCATCAAACACTGTATCCACATAACACTGTATCACTTCATACTACACATGAACACAAAACAGAGAACACCAGAAAAAGAATTTGATAAAGAAATTAAATCAGATGCTCTGGAGCCAGATCCTGCAGCTGTTCTTTAGCGTTAAACCGAACACTTAAACCTTCATGCCCCTTGTTTAAGCACTTGTAGATGGATTTGGAGATTTATCCACCTGTTCACGACCATCTCCAAGTGCTGGGTGAGGCAGCACAGCCCTCCCCAGGCACTGCAGCCCCACAGACCCTGATTCTCACCCCGCCAGCTGCAGCTTTTCTGTGCCTCGCGATTTGGGGTTAGGGTTTTTTTCCGGCTTTTTCTTTTCTTAGGTTTTTTTTTTTCCCCCCGTTTTCATTTCCACAGTCTCTCCCCTTCACCATCCCCCGCCTCCCGCGGGAAGGTCAACTCTGGGAAAGACCCGGGTCTTCTTTAGGAAGAAATGATTTACTTCGGAAGAAACGGTTTAGTTAGGACGGGATTCTTTACTTAGTAAAGAATTCGTGGCTGGGAGGGCGGTGAGGCCCTGGCACTGGGTGCCCGGAGGAGCTGTGGCTGCCCCATCTCTGCAAGTGCCCAAAGACTTTTGGAGGGCTCTTGGAGCAACCTGAACTAGTGGAAGGCGGCCCCATGGAGGGGGCGGCGGAGCGAGACGATCTTTAAACTCCGTTACAACCCCTCAGCGTTCTGTGAGCCTACGAAAAGACACGGAGAGCGAAAAAGCGGAGGGCGCTCCCGGCCCGGGACGGGCTCCCGGCCCTGTCCCTGCGCGGCCGTCCCAGGACGACCTTCGGGCGGAGCGGCGGCGGCCGCGCTCCCGGCCCCGGCGGGGCCCTCCCGGGCGTGTCCCGGCCCGGCCCCGGCTCGGTCCCGTCCCTTACCCGGGCGTGCACGGTGCCCATGTCGGCGGCGGGGTCGGGCTGTGCCGGGGCGGGGCTGTGTCGGGGCCGGGCGGTGCGGTGTCGGTCAGGGCCGCGGCGCAGGGGCGGCCATGGCGGGCGGCACCGCCCCGGAGCGCATTGGGCACGGCGGGGGAGCGGGAGGGACCTTCCGGGCACGGCGGGAAGGGGCGGGAGCGGCGCCGGGAACACCCGCACGGCACCGCGCCGGGCACGGGGAATGACGGGGATAAAGGGAGCGACCCCGGGAACACCCGCACGGCACCGCGCCGGGCACCGGGAATAACGGGAATAAAGGGAGCGACCCCGGGAACACCCGCACGGCACTGCGCCTGGCGCGGGGAATAACGGGGATAAAGCGCCTCTGCCGCGGGCCCGGATCGAGGGGTGACAAGGGCGGGATGGAGGGAAGCGGCGGTTCCTCGCATCCCACGGGATCACACGGGGCACCCTAAACTGAAACGTGTGGTACAGGGCTTAACAGGAATAATGAATAACTGTAACGGTAATAGATGTTACGGTTGTCATCATTATCATTATTACTTCGTATTTTTACGACATTATTCACATTGCTGCTTCGTATTTTTACGTCATTATGCACATCATTAACTTCGTATTTTTACTTATATTGTTAATTTCATATTTTTACTTCATTATGCACATCATTAACTTCATATTTTTACTTCATTATGCACATCGTTAACTTCATATTTTTACTTCATTATTCATGTTGTTTACTTCATATTTTTACTTCATTATTCATGTTGTTTACTTCATATTTTTACTTCATTATTCACGTTGTTTACTTCATATTATCACAATGTCACTTTTATATATATATAGATTTACATTAAACATTTTTATGTTATTTGCTATAATAATATTCTATATTGTAAAGCACCAAGATCAGTGTTTACAGAGCCATAGTGCTGTCTACTCTTTTATATGGTTCCGAATCATGGGTCATCTACCGCCACCACCTGCGTCTCCTAGAACGCTTCCATCAACGCTGCCTCCGTACAATCCTTAACATCCATTGGTCAGACTATGTGACCAATACATCTGTTCTCGAACAGGCAGCAATTACGAGTATTGAGGCCATGCTCCTGAGAACGCAACTGCGTTGGGCAGGGCACATCTCTAGGATGAAGGACCACCGCCTCCCTAAGATCCTGCTCTATGGTGAACTTGCCACTGGCTGCCGCAAGAGAGGAGCTCCAAAGAAAAGATACAAGGACTCCCTGAAGCAACAACTCAGCCTCGGGCATATTGATCACCATAACTGGTCCACTCTGGCCTCTAATCGGGAGGCCTGGAGACAGACCATTTATAACGCTGCTGATGCTTTTGAGAAGGCACGCAGGATCACTCTTGAGGAGAAAAGACAACGCAGAAAGAATCGAACCTTGCAGAATATACCATCTAAGGAGTCTTTCTGCTGTGTCTTTTGCAACCGGACTTGCCTTTCTCGTATTGGCCTTTTTAGCCACCAACGCGCTTGCATGAAAAATGGGTAGAGCCCTTCCCAAATCTTCGTTCGCGAAGCCTAGCCATGAATTCTATATTGTATTTTTATATATAATTGTATATAAATGTATATAATATGTATATTGTATATTTATGTATAACATAAACAGTACGTAAATAGTATGTTTTGTTTGAATAATATATAAATAGTATATTCTGTAATTTATATTTTGTAATCACCTACAGATAAATTTTAATATTTATATTATTTTTTAAAATTTTGTTTCTGGAACACAAAAATGTAAGTGCCTGAAAATAATAAATTACTGTATTAATATTTTATTATTTAATATATTATTTATATTTGGTTATCTGCTTATATTCTATGTTATTGCTATTTTATATAATCTATATATGAATGTTTATATTAAATATATCAATTAGCAAATTGCTATATTAATAGTTTATTTTATTTAATATTATTTTATTTTCTTGTCATCTGCTTATATTTTGTTATTTCTATTTGATATAATAGATGGCTTTTATATTGAATATATCAATTAAACATAATAAATCAATACCTTTGTGTTATTTTATATTATATAATATTGTATTTGTATTTTATATTTTGTTATCAGCTTATAATTTCAATTTTACAGAATTTATATATAAATTTTTATGCTCATATTAAATTGATCAGTTAAACAAATCAACACCTTCATGTTACTTTTATATTATATATTATTATTGTATTTGTATTTTTATGTTACTTATATTTTGTCATCTGCTTATATTCTTATTTATATTTTATATAATAAATTTTAATGTTTATATTAAATATATCAATAAAGTTATTTTATTATGCAGATATTATCTAATAATATATGATTGCATTTTATGTTATTTATAATATTTAGTTACCTGCTAAATTACAGAGTTTTAACTCAGAAGCAAGACACCATTTGTCTTCTTTCTCCAGACACAACTGTCTCTGGTTTTCAATTGTTTAAATGCAACAAACTATTTGTAAACCAATGGATTGCAGAACAAACCAACAAACACAAACTTTAGAGTCATGTTGGTCCAACTGGAGAATGAACAAGCACCTCTCAAACTCCAGAGTAGTTCTCTTAAAATAAGACCCCTCAGAACCATCAAATCACTTCAACATTCAGTGGAACGAACATATTCTGATTTAACTTCAGATTATTCAGTATAATTCTGAATTATACTCCAGAAAGCTGAGAAAACAAGGTAACAGAAGAGATTGTGGTTTTATTTTAGAAAAAGGAGACAAAACTTTAGCTGTGCCCAACAGAAAAAGTGGTTAAGGTTGATTTAAACATAGTTAATAGAACTATTCCAACACACAGACCATTAAATTCTTACACATTCTGGTAAACTATGTTTTGCAGAACATTCTAGAATTTTGTTTTACAAAGTTTAAAATTACAAATGGAGACAATATAAAACAGATCTTGCTCATTTTAATTGTAGTTAGAGGAACATTCCCAACTTCTCATGCAAGTTTGAAGACACAACCACACAAGAAACAAACAGAAGAGTTGAAGTAAAATAGCACCAGACTTCTGGAGTATGGAAATGGACAACTCAGCACCTCCTCCCCTGCTCCTCACCAGCCCCAAATCCATCTTAATTCTGTAAAATGTAGCACTTCAAGCTCAGGGAAATCAGAGCTGAGACTCTGGAACCTTTGCACAGCTCCCTGGATATTGATACTTCTACTAAGTCTTACACACTTGCTGCTTCCAACAGTCCTGGAAAACTTCCTTTGGGATGCACCTCACCGAGAGAGGGGGGACGCCCTTTTTCTTCCCTCCTTTGGCAAGAGGGAAGTGAAAGGAGGAGAAGAAAAATCTCTCAAGTTGGAGGGGAAAAAATATCAAGAATAATTAGAGATGACCTAAACATCACTCACCACTTGCTAGACACTGATTTTTGTTAACATCTTCTGTAAAGTTTAACACCTTCTTGACTTACTGTTTGCTACTCATCACAGCCACTACTTTACCTACTTTGCAATACTTACTCAAGTATTAAACCTTTCTATTAAGTTCAAAAAAAGTCCACTGAAATCACAAACTGTACCTGTTTACACTTCAGGGGAACATGCCCCATTTCTTGTGTCTTTTTCCCCTTGAATTATTTGAAGAGGGAAAGAAACACAGAGGAGAAGAACTGTGAAATACACACCACAACTCAGAGTAACACTGTTCCTACAGTATCTCGTGCAGACAACTTTCCATAAACACAACAGTATCTTTAAACATAAGGCAAACGGGCATTGGAGGCCACTAAAAATTGGTGGTTTTCCCTTTATGAAGTAAAAGTCCCAATTTCATTTAAGTGCTATAAAAGTAATCCTAATACATAATAAAGAATTGTATCTTTAAAAAGGTTTTGTTGTCGATGGTTGTTTAACAATCTGTTGACAGAATTTACATTTTTATGCTGAAAGCAAATTTTTAATAAATTTATTTCCAGAGAGACACAGTTTAACTACAAGTCTTACTACAGTTGATTGAGCTGGTGCTTCAACAGAATTATAATCTGTCATTAGTATAGCAGCCACTGCTTTTATAATCCTTAAAACAGTAAAATTCCCAAGGCAGATTTGTCAGGAAGCTGTAAACAAGTAATTTTCCAAGACTTATTGGCAATAAACAAAGTGACCTTTAGTCCTTTAGGGTTTGAAGTTTCTCTGCCAGATTTGGAATTTGGGAAAGTGTGGAATCTGCTTCCAAATCAATACTCTGGAGCAGTTTGGAAACTCGTCTCCGAGGAAGAGTCAACATCCATGTCCAACGCAGACTCATCAGGATTTGGGAGGAAACTGGGATAGGACTTTAGGTCTGGATGCTCCTGTATTTCAGTAGAGGGATTTTTCATAGCTGAGTGAAGGAAGCAGGAAGATTCCCAGAGCCAGCTCTCAATGTGTGAGGTAGAGTGAGGCATTTTAAGGTGGCAGTATGAGGAATGAAATTCCACAGTGGATGGGACAGCTGGACATTCCCTCAGTGACGCATAATCATCTTTCCTGGGTGAAGAGAAAGAAAAGCGTGAAACAATGATAGGATTCTCAGATTCATAGTGAGGTGTCACCCATTCCCCCACACACAAGTGCTGCAAAGTTAAACAGAAATAAAAAGTCTGGAAGGCCAAATCTAGCCCCAGCTGGGTAAGAGAAGATAATGAAGCTGAGGTTTCTCTTCCACAGAAATAGAGGCTCCTAAAAGTTTTCCATCATGTGTCTTATTTGAATTCTTCCCAACCATCCTACAAGACTGTCCTCCTCATTCATCTACTTTTTAACTCTTACAGTGTTTCCTGTCCAGACTCCCAAGAAGCACCAGAAAATAGATGTGAAGCAGTGAGAGCTCTTTCGTGTTACCCTTGAGAAAAATCAGGACATCTTCTTGTAAGAAAGAAACTTGGCACTTTACCTCGATGCCCAGAACAGTTTGCTTTTAGCCTGGGAATAAACTGTCCCAGCAAGCCGAAAGAGCTGCTCTTGCATCCATCGGACGTCAGCAGGCATGTCAGGAAACCAGTTCACTAACCTGCAAAAAAAAGCCAAAAAATCCAAATCAAAATGCGCTTTT